TGTACTTGCTGGTATTAAATGTAGAGTGCCATCATCCAACATGGCAGAAACTGTCATTGTATCTATACTGTAAATGCATCCCAGTAATGTACCACTGATTAACTTAACCATAAAAAGAGAGATTGTGGTAGTAATTGTTTATCTGTGGTTGACTCTGTCTGTGACCTTGACGCTTGATACCTAAGAAAGTCATTAAATTTTAACTAAATTATTTATGTGTAAAATATGCATAATAGGGCAGTGACAAACTTGCTTCATATAGCCTAAGTCTTATGGAACATATGTGATGTATGGTGTAGTATGGTTTGGCGTATAATTATGCGGCGTTAACAACTCACTGTCATTATCCAATACCGATATCTGTTCTTTTGTTTTCTTAACTGCTATAAGTTTAGCTGATCAGAGGCCTCTGTGATGGAAAGGTTGCAAGGGCAGATGAAAACTGTCTGGAAGTCCTTGGGTCTTGGTCAAATACTTTCAGACTGAAAAACACTGGTGGTTCTGTGAAAGCCCATGTGCTATAAAGGAGACATAAGGTGGATTCCGTCTGGTGGTAGAACAATGAATCAACCATTGTGCCTCACAGAGCTGTGTGACTGTTTGTCAGAATAAGCTAACATTGTCTACATCTATGTTGTAGATCGTGAAAAGGTGTATGGTCATAAATACTCAGAACATAGAATGGGAGGTTCTGGAAAAACATGGGGTACTGGGGCCACTTTTATATCTTGTTAAATCCCCCCCCACCCCGTGCAGCAGTTGTGGAAATTTCAGCTCCAGAAAGTTTTTATTCCAACCAACCAGGGGTGGTTTTCCTAAAAGCTTCGTAACGCTAAGTAGTTTGTTATCTTGTTCGTAGATTTACGAGTGCTCTGACCCACTGGTTTTTTTTCTACATCGTTCTTTGTCCAACTTTTTCCAGCTGTCCTGTCATAGAGACACGGAAATCGACCAAAAGAGATGACAAAAACACATTGACACTTTTTTTTTCCAGTTCATAAATTCTGTACTACCCTGGTAGGCTACATAATGAGCTAGCCAATCAAACTTACTATGTGTTCACTCACAACCTTTGAATTGGGAAGGAGAATCAGCCCTTACCACCAAAAATGGCAGAAAATTGTGCTTGTCAACAGAAGACAGTGTTTGAGGAAGCCAAGAACCCCATGGACCATCTCAGTAATGCACAATTCATAGAGAAATACAGGCTGGTCTGGGGTGATGCAATGAACCTCCTTTATCTGGTGCAGGATAGATCAAAAAGAGGAACACACCAGAATTGCATTGATGCATTGATCACTGTTGCACCGTGTGCACAACTACATACAATATCTGGCAAGAGGAGATGCCTTGCATGAGACTAAAAGTGGTTTTCCTGGCATTGCCGGCATACCTATCATTGTAAGTGCTGTGACCCCTATTCATATTTGCAGCCCCTTGAATCCCACCTGCACCTGTTGAAAAGGGTTCTTGGCACTAGGTTTCAATGTCCAGGTGATATGCAACCATCAAGGACATTTTACAGACATTGTTGCCATGTGGCCTGGTAGTACACAAGATGAGTATATTTGATCCAGCTTTGGATTGTGTCAGATGGCAAAGGATGGTGCATTTTCTGGTGGCTGGTTATTGGGAGACATCAGGCATCCTCTTAGCTAATATCTGCTGATTGTAGTGTCCCAAACTGTGGCTGAGGAGAGGTACACTTCACACCAAAGAACACACACTGCTGTAGAGGATGCTTTGGGCATGTGGAAGATGTGATTCTGGTGCCTACACAAGTCTTTGGGAGTTCTAAGATTTCCTCCTGAATGTTGATGTGCTACTTTTGTTATGTGTAGTATGCTGAACAATATTGCAGTAATTATTTGATTAAAATATATTTTGATCACCTCCTCAATAATTTTAAGTGTTACTTTCTTTTCCTATTGCTGCTCATACACCTGTTTTTTTATAAGGACACAACATCACATTTTGAGCCTATTTTTATATTTTCAACAAATACTGACTTATTGTGGTCTTAATTATGTTTGCTATGGTTAGCTTTTAGTCTCTTACTGATGGTAAGATTATACATGACAAGAATAGAAGGTTTCATTTGGTGGCTGCAGGTTCATGGACAATAAACAGATCCATGGTGAGACTCAATCTACCCAATCCGCATCTATGATCATGATCTGTAATCATTTCAGAGATACTATGAACCAGTCATCTGGCCATAAGGAACTGGCCTTTGTCAAAGTCACTCAGATTTATACCCCAGCTGATATATCCCAGACCTTGACATGCACCGTTTTTACAAGATAGTCAACATACGAACCTAATTTTGTTGCTTGTCGATTTCAGCAGTTCAATTACAATAAGTTTTCTTATGCTTATTCTCTTATTTCTTATATGCTTCATGAATGGTCATAATGTTTTGGTTCATCGGTGTGTACTACAGTTATTGATCAATGGATGGACAGATAAGAAGGATTATGATGGGTTTGTTATATAAAGTAACGTTATCATGTTGTTATGTTTTACTTTTCATTCCATCAATATTATATTTTTTTGTGTGATAGAGCAAGAGGATCTATAAAGAGTGTGTTTAGTTCCTCTGGAATTTGAGGAAATGCTGCATATGATACAGAACAATTTAATGCTACTTTTATTTAACTATTAGATAGACTTAACTCCAATAGACATTTTCATCTGAAAAGAAAATGGAAATCCACTTATTACTAATTTTTCTTGTTTAAATGTTCTTGCTAAAATTGTGATCAAAGGTGCAGAATTTCAATGCCTGTGGGCAACACTGAAAATATGGGTCATGTTATGTTGAAATATGGGTCACGGCAGACTGACAGAACCTTTTGTAGTGACGTAAAGTCGATCCTATAAAATGGTCTTTTGGTGATGAAGACTCGATCGCTGTCTTCAGCATTTGTGACCAGGTTCTCAGAGTGGAATAAGACCTTATGTTTGATCACGGATGGGGGAAATGCAGCCAGTGATGTATTTCTGGTAAGTGCCCATCATTGCAGCTGGCATTGAAGGCCAAACAGAAAGGAGGGAGGTGTAACAGCACTAGTAGCCTTGATAAGAGGCTTTTGGCATATTGGGAATGTGGTTAGGTAGTCTAAGACCTAAGAGTTTTACTATGAAAGTGAAGTTACCTCATGATGATATAAGAAAGTGTACATATATACATAAAAGAAGACTGACATTTACTATGAATCCGAGGAATAACTTCACAGGCTCTTCTACTGGAATCACATGACTAAGGGTGCTTGGTAAAATGAGTAATTTGAAAGCAATGATTAAAATCAAGTCTTAGGGCTGCAGGAAGAAACTCCCACACAAAACCGGACGAACATGCAGGTTCACAAAACCGCAGCCCTGTAGGTGTGAGGTATCAGTGCAACTCATTGAGCCATCCAAACAAAAAAGCTTTTTGTATTTTTTTATTATATTTAATTTGCATACTTTTAACAATTCACTCTCTATCCCTATGACAAGATTTATAAAACAACATTTAAAGTGATTAGTTGTCACTGTTGACACACAGTGCACAATAACAAAATGGACCCTCTGTATTTAACCCATATATAACTTTGTGTTGTAGCAGAGGGCAGCTAATTCAGCGCCCAGGGAGCAGTGCTTGGGGGCTGTACCTTGGTCAGAGTATGTCAGTGGTACTTTGCTACACAGTTTTGTATTCCATTGAGAATCTCACATTTTATTGTGTAAAGGATACAACACTTGGGTGGCTGAAGACATTTGAAGAATTAATGTCTTTGCATTTTTTATGTTCAGCTAACAAGGACAAAGACATATTGCCTACCAGGTATGCCTTTGCAATGTAGGCCAAATGCAGATTTATTAGCTGCTGCATTTCTACAGAAATTTAAAGTATAATTCTTGACAACATTGTTGAAAACAACTGTAGGCAGAATTTGATGTTTGCAATTGTGGGCATATTGCATGCCTTATATGTCAATACATGCATTTGATGCACGCATGACATATTTTACCTACCTAGGGTATCTAGGGTACCAACAAGCTGTTCATGCAAAGGTGCCAAGTACCAGCATAGAACACAGTACAATGCTGGTCTTGCCATTTAACTGCAAGTTCGACTCAGGTGACTAGGGGAGGCACCCACCACCCCCCAAGCAGTCATATAATACTAGCAAATAAAATCAGAAAAGAAAAAAGCAAGAAATAATTTTACAATGGTCCCTAAACAACACAACGTTTACATTTCGCTATTCTGCTGTTGTTTCAACAAGTGACAGAAACTGTGATGCCTCCCCAGTATTTTAACATACTACACTTCTAAAATATTCACGTTCCCAAGTTAAAACTGTAATCGGAGCCTGTTTTTGTGAAACACGTCAATTAACCAGGTCACACGTGACAAGTGAAGTTCCTCCCTCAAAAGGTCAAAGTACAACGCGTTTTGCTCCCCATTCATTAGATTAGAGGAGCTATACTGGAAGTCCATACTTTTTAAGATACTGTTAGGACTCATCGTACTATTTCGTTCTCAGTAGGAACAGTTGCACGAAATCTAAAAAGAAAGTATTCGTTATTTTATGAAGTAGTACAACACAATCGGTATATGCTAATAAGCAGTTGTCTATGTTAACCACAGAAAAAAAGGAATTGAATTAGATTAAATGTTAATGTTAACTAATTTATAGGATGTATTCTTGTATTTCACAGTAAACGGTATGATTAAATTACCCGTTTTAGGATTTAAGTACAGATTCGCGGAGATCCGTAATCTACTTCGGTTGTGCCTGGTACACCTAGTTTTTCTAACTACAAAAAGTGATTAGAACTTCACCATATCTGAGACTATAGTAGTGAATGCAATTTTTAATCCAGTTCCACCAGATAGTTCTAATAGCAGTACTTCAGTGCTGCATAAAACGGTCTGCATAAAATATGCAGACGACAACATACGGTCTTAATACGGTTTAAGATACCAAGCACTATATTCGGAGGTTTGCTAGGTAAATGGAGAGTGTGCGTTGTTCCTAAGAATTGGAACACGGCTGAAGATGACGACCGGAAGTTGTCACTGCATAAGAACAAGGAGCCATGTTTGGGGAATTGGGACGCAGCCTCACTATGTATTTCCGGGTTTGAAAATCACATTATCACCGAAGATTAAAGATGGGTTTAAATTTTTTGATTAATTACGAATCAAATCATTGTACTCGTATATCATATTATTATTAACAAATACTCAGACTGTAACTCCAGATAGCTAAGCATCAGAGAATTTGCCGAACTACTATGCCGGTGACGTCAGGTAGCAGTTCAGTCGAATAGGTTTTCGTCGCTTTTTAGCTATCGCATATCAAACGGAACGTGCCCAGTCATCTACCTGTTTCCATTGCAATAGTTTAGTATCCCTTATTAGTTACATCGATTTTTATTTGTTTAATCTATCCCAAGGATGTACAGCGGGCTTCCCAGCGGTCTCTCCTACAGTGACTCTGAATCCGATTCCGAAGACTGCAAAACTCTTTCACAGAATCAAACAGAACAGCAACACGAAACAGAAAAGAATGATTATCAGCGCGATCACAGTGTGATAACTGATCCTACAGAAAAGCTGGCTTCCATTGACACAGAGGACTGCTTACCTGGAGTTTCTCCTCAGCTGTGGCAAGTACGTATTTTAGCAGTCGAAAAAAAATATGACGAGTAGTTTTGTTTTTAAGTTACAGTTTAAATAATAATAATAATAAGAAGAAGAATTATTATTATTATCATTAGCTTTATGTAAACAAATATGTATATTGTGACATTCTAAAACTGTAGTTATGTGTTTATTGTTACTTCAATTTAAGTGTTAGACTGTAAGTTTAAAACACTGGAATTGACTCTAAACTTCAGGCCCTTTCCTACCCTGTTTTAAAGATGTTCTTCGTATATAATTTTATATAATCTTAATTATGCACACATTAGCACCGAAATGAAAGGATATTCTTTGACCCCGTAAACAGCTGAGGCCGAATTTAAGTGAAGTTTGACTTAGTGGTAAATTTAGAAAACTTTAATGTGTGTGTGGGTATATTCTGGGTTTTAGTCTGGGGCCTTTCATTCTAAGCATACAGTACTTCCAAAAGGGGAGGTATGCATTATGCGGGGAAATCTCAAGACGACCATATCATATATATATATATGTATGTGTGTGTGTGTATGTGTGTGTGTGTGTATGTGTATATATATATATATATATATATATATATATATATATATATATATATATAATATAGCCACTGCAACACAAAACGAGCAGAATATCACCAATTAACCCTAACTGCATTTTGGATTTAAATACTTAAATAATTAAGCTGCATAATAGGCACGCTGCATGTGTATACTGTTTTTATACTTTGTTTAGTTGCACGGCTTTTTCACATAGATTTTAAATTGACTTAAGCATAATATTTTATTCTCCAGATTTTGTGCTATGTTATAGTGTGGAGTTGATCATGCCCCCATCCCACACCATACTAAATACATAATAAAATGATTTCCTTGTCACATGCATTTATTTTACATTCTGACTGAAGGGATTCCTGCAGTATTAAATTTCAGGCCTCTGTGTGTAAATGTAAACCTGTTAAAGTGTATGTTCTGCTACCATAGGCCACTCTGGTTTAAAAGTACTGCTTGTGAAGTTGCACGTCCAGGAGGTTGTTGCAGAACAGTGGGACTGAAATTATGAGACTGACTGACTGGAATCTGTTAATAGAAGCTTTCTGGCATTATGATGCATATTTTTATATCATGCATACTAAGCATAGCAAACCAATTGCAGACCTTCGCTAAGCTGCAGTTTTATTGCAGCTTATTTCTTAATGTCAAAACATTAGTTAAATAAAGGGAAATATTATTGATCGTAGAAATTAAAGACACAACTAAAATATAACTGATAAAGGTAACTGAGTAGTCTGAAGATTTGAAAAAATCTTAAATTGTTGAACAATATATAACTATTTAAATATGCATGTAGTATCTTCTATAATTTTCAGTTTATTTTTTATATGTATGTAAAATGTATTACTAGATAACAAAACTGAAATAAGTGGTGGTCTAATTTAAAATTAAGCCTTTACGGAGTAGACCAAAGGAATTTTCTGTGATAACTAAAATGTACAGTATCAATTCTCTGTATAATTTACAGCTAGCTAGTTATAATATTTTGAATTAGCCTTGGAGAAAGATTAACTGAAAATGGAAATGGAAAAAATGCCGATATATGTATTGATCTTAACCTATAAAATATTTTTTCCTTCTCCAGGGTCATACAATAAATGCCTTCTTTTTTCCTCCTAATTTATTGATACTTATGTGATTTTTAATTTTTTTTAGTTATTATAAATGTTTGCTTTTATGTTACAGATTTCAATTGAATCTTAAACTTACGACCTGCCTTGAATAATTTTTTTGTAGAAAAAAAACACTGAAGATTATTGCTAATGATTAACAATTAATTGAAGACTTGGTCACTTTCTAAAAAAATTAGACATGGTTTTCCCAGTCAGTCACTGCCCATGCAGTCTGTTTTGGTGTTGATTCTGTTAATTGTGGTAAGCAGATTGGGTTGTGAAACAGCCAGTGTCAGCCCTTTTATTACGGTGGATTATGTTAAATTTTTACAAGCATGGGACATTTGAAAATAATTCCCACCACCACCCTGTTTTGGATAAGCTGTCATAGGGGATGGCTTGATGAAAATTCCATTCTTGACCTAAGACGGCATGTTTCTTGTTTGTATAATTTGTTATCCATCGTTGTCGTATGAAGGTCGGGACCGTGCAGTGTCCCAGCCTAAAGGACAGAGAGTGAAAGCGCACTCAGATCTCAATTCTGCTGAAGTCTATGCAGGGAAATATTCATTTAGAAAGGAAAATAATGACTGAAATTATATTAGATTTGAATGGCCCTATGACTTTCTGCTTATAACTTTTGTTTATTAAAAAAAACTGCATATAATTCTGCGTTTGTTTTTGTAAAATTTAGCCTTGCTTTATGTGTATATTGTTGCTATGTGCAGTGTTCCCATTGCATCATTGTGTTATTAATTGTTTTAAGTGGATATTTTAGATATAAGAATTGCCCAAGTAATCGCGTTGGTGGTGGTGGTAAGTGCTTGTAAAAATCGAATAACCTGTTTGCGATGTTCGCTGTGCTTGTTTCCATCTACGTCTGTGAACAGATAAGAGACACGATGTTAGTAATTTGCCAGTGGTTTGCAGTCTATCTTCACCCATAACATAACACCAACATTGTGGTGTCTACATGGCTGGAGCTGTAGCTCGTTTAAATTCAGAATTGAGTATATTAAAACCCTGATTTCACCCCCCCCCCCCCCATTTTGTGTATAGCATTATTGTACTCAACTACACTTTTAATATCTACTTAATGTTAAGCCAAAAAGTTAAGTTGTGCATTTATTTGAACTGCTCATTCTTCTCACCATGAAATGTCGTATTTATTCTTTGAATTTGTCAATTTTGATTAATATCAAAACATTTTAGCTCTTTAAAGAATCCCTTAGTATATTAGCAGTACCGTGCTTTAATTGATATAAATAAAATAGTATTTTTGGAATGCAGAGGTAGTTTAAAGGGGTTTGTGTAACTAATATATATTGACATTTTGGTGTAGTAGTTATTTTTCCATTGGCAAACATCTCATTATCACACGAATTGCGCCAAATGTAGAGCAAATTTCTTTTGTTAGTTGAGTAAAGCAGGTTTCATACATGTGCTATTGTTATAACGCTGGACCTATATGTAACTAAACCTTTGTTTATTATCTTGTCTTTTTTAACCAGAAATTTAGAGAACTTAAGAAAAAAAACCAGGAGCAGAAGCTACTTGAAGTGAAATGTAAAAGACGAAAGAGGAATAAAAAAGGTATAATCATTTAAATTCCAGCATAACAGTGCTCATTTGAAAATACTTATGAGCATTTACATCTATAAAAGATTGTAATTTGTGAATGGAAAACTATTTAGCAACACGTGATTATTGGTAGGCTAATTACCATATATTTTATTTGTTGTAATTGTAATAGTTTTTTTGGTAATACAAAATGCTACATTAATAGATGGAATTTAATGTCTTTTTGACATTCTTTTCACAGACATGTTTGCACAATGTATTGAACTCTAGAGTGCATTGTGGGGCAAATGCAGCACAACAGTGGTGTTATAGTTTCTGTTGCATTTAGCATATTTATCCAGATCATTTTTGAACTGTAACGGTAAACTTGCAGCTGTATACCTGTTTACAATGGTGCCTAAGATTAAGTCTGCAGAATTAAAGTCTCTGCTTTTAAACAAATTAGATATATACAAATATTGGAGTTTCCAAGCCCCTCCCCCCAGGAAATGCAATATTTTCACTTTGGTATTAATTAAACCTTTTGGCAAAAATGTTTTAATGTATAGAGTGTTATCTGTATTTCCTACCTCTTCAGGACTTGTTTTATACTTTATACTTAAGTTGATTTTATTCCTTGCAGTATTTTTTTTTAATGGAATTGGGGGTTTACTGTCATCATTCAGAAGTTCGGTAGCTGTGAGGAATATGATTGAATGCTTTATAGTCAGTATACTGTTTGTTTGTTTAATAGCAGTGCTCATTTCTGAGTCAGTTTGTCACCCCACGATATCTTATATACAGACTGTCTCCGACTTACAGCCTATGCGACATACAACCAACGTTTAAACCAAATATATGTAAGAATACATTTTGGGCAGCCGTACACCTTGGCAGTGATACACTATCCAGTGTGCACTGTGCGCCGTGCAGTAGTTGCCACTGGAAGGTACTGTACTGTATAGCAGTGTGACCATCTGACAATTGTTTTTAATTTTAGTATAGGGAAATTACTGTATTGCACAACAGTGCAGTGTGACCATCTGAGTCTCACATACATCTCCCAGTCTCATTCTCACACCTAAAAGACAATGTGATGATCTTATTCTGAAATATGTCCAATTCTGAGTACAAGCTGTCTGCCAGAAAGGGACTCAGCCATAGATTTTGGGACAGTCTGTATATGACTTTTGAAATATCACTGTTGCTCTTTTTGGTTGTAGACGTTACATTAACTTAAATTTCACACTCATTAGTGCATGATCAACAACTTTGAATTTACTTCAAACACTGTCACAGTCTTTCTCATACTGGTAGTGACGCAACTTAAATCATTAAATCATAAACTAACTTCTGCATTGCTTAACTGAAATGCAAAGACAATTTTTCTAAAATTAACCAGCAATATAAAAACACTAAGCTATGGAAACTTGTAACTTTGCATTTGGCCTAAAATGTATGACTATGATTTCTTTCTGATTTTTCAATAAATAAAAAAGTTTACTGTTTATATTTTTCACCATGTATATACTTCACCATTTTTGTCTTTATATTCCTAAAACAGGTGATACAGCTGCCTGTGAATTGGAGAAAAAAAGGTAATGAACTTTACAAAAATATATGTAATTGAGTATGATATGTTAATGGTTTTATTGTATATTAATAGCCTCACTTGTATGTCTCATTGTAATGAAAACAGACACCATTTTTATACATCGTCATGCTTGTTCTCTTTCTGGGTGTTACGGTTGTCGTATGTAGCTGAAAACAGCCTGTGTCTTTAAAGTTTCTGTTGTGTCTGGGCTTCCTGGTTCATAGTAACCCTCTAATGAATAAATTGTTGTGTAAAATGGATGGATTTCTGTATGTTTTTGTGACTTTAAAGGCTGACATATCTTACAGTCAGTGGGGCAGTGGTAACCAATTCTCATACCTTGTAACTGAAATTTTTAGCATTTTACTGTGAAAGGAGCGAGGAAAAGATTATGCTTAGTAATATTTAAGATAAGTAAACATTACATTTGACAGTCTCTGATGTTTAGGTTTTGGAATGATTATATTTGTAAAGTTAAGGATGGTTAACATACTTATGACCAGTAATACTTTAAATTTAGAGAGTTAAAATAATGTTTAAAGATGTTCTTGTCATTTATCAGTGTTGCATAAAACTAATTATAAGGCATTTTAACTGCATTTTTACATTCTTTTTTCCAGAAAGCTTCAAGCTGAGCATGAAGAACAGTGGAATAACCTTAAGCAATATTTCTCCATAAATGATAGATTCCAGCCTCCGCCTTGTAACAGATCCAGTGTAAAGGTAAATACTTATACCATTTTATTATTTTATAATTAAAAAAATGTATATTAACATTATTCCCTGAACATGAAATTAAATGTTTGTTTCAATAAAGACAAAAAATTATTATAGTTTGGTCTGTGTATGTTATTGGTTCTTGGTTGAGAATGAAATATGACGACTGTGTATCCGTTTGTCCAACTTCTTAGCATTTTTTTTCCTGTCAGTGCTATGGAGGTGAACGTGGAGCCTATTTCAACACATACCTGACGTCACAGAAGTGGCAAAAAAACCCCACTAACCATACCTTTATAGACTAGGCCTGTTTCGTAGTTAGAGTAAATTGATTTAACACAGTGGCACACAGATGTTTCACATGCAGTAATACTAATACGTCCAATTTAATGTCAGCTTCTATTCGGTATGTGTTGGTATATAAAATTCCAAAAGATAGAAATAGAGCATACTCAACAGTTAACAAAAACCCTAAAATTATACGGAATAATATTGGGTTTTTTTTGTCTGGGATTACTGGGAAGTGCTGTGATTAGGGGTGTTTACCCTGAAATCGTTGGTGGGCCCCTCCAGATACTGCCCTTCGCTTCAAGAGGTTGAAGTGTAAGTGATACATTTACAGTGTATTCTTCTCAATGGCTCTAAACATCCCTAATAGACCTTGTGACCACTGATTAAGTTTGATTTAAGTATGGGTAATAATAGCAGCTCTCCATCTCCCACTGTAATTTAATCCCTTTGTTATATGACATTTGTTGCTGTTTCTGAAACCGGAGCAGATGTTCCCCGCTACCCCCTTTGTACTGTGCACCCATCGCACTTTGCTTTCTGCTCCGATCCTGCTCTCTTATTTGTCAGACTTGAATCTTCCCGTATTTTAAATGAGATCTAATGTGCTGTTCGCCTGGTTGCTGTATATCAATGAAAATAGGGAAAAGTCCTTCGGAACTTTGAAACTTTGTGAATGTTGAATAACAAACAATTGATTAATTTCAGTAATCACTGAGAGTCTGGTTATCATTTGTCTGGGCTGGCCGGGGGTTACTTTCACATGCAGCAGTGTATATAATTCTTCTCGGATGACAAAAAGCCCTGCAAAAAAGAATCTCTTTTAATGGCATGCTCACCTTGGACAAAAAGGGGAGCCGTAACCTCAATGATAACTTTAGCTTAAATATCGTCCGGGCTTCCAGAAACCATGTTGCGCTGCATACTTTGACTAACGTAAAACAATGCACAAATGTAGACCAATCTAATTGAATAAACTGGGTAAAGCAGAAGTATGTAGTGACATTAATTAGGTACATATCCTTAAATCATGCATTCTTTTTAAGGTTGGTTTCTACACATTTCCGCACTGACTTCTAATTAATCTACTACGCTTCTGTTAGCATGTAAATGTGCTGCTGTTGACTGAAAGAAAAATGTGATTTACGGTCATCCGTCTTTCATATTTAATTATCCAGTATAGAGTCAGAGTGATGATTTGCGTATGAAATATATTTAATGCAGGAAATGTGGTAAGGACTTAATGTCTAGCATAATTATACTTAAATTTTTAATATGAATGTACTATTTCCAGTAGAATCCAGTTCCGTCTATAGTATCCCATTGTGAATGTCGAAATGGTTATTTCTCAATGTAAGCTGTTCAAGAAGTTTAATGGTATATTAGAAAGTGTTTTATCTGCAATTATTTGGAAATAAAGTCTGACATTCAATTAAAACCTTTTAAATAGTTTCTTGAAATGTTGTTCTGAGCCCAAATTATCTTACTGAGGCATAAAATTAAGTTTTATTGCTTTTTTTGCTTAGCAAAGCATAAGTAACTAAAGTTACCTCAAAATATATTTGTACAATTTATTTAAAATTTTACAGCTATTTATATATTAATTTAAGTAAAAATTCCTGAAGTATTTTTTTGACAAGCAAAGAGAACAAATTAATTGATGAAATAAAACAGAACTGATATCAGTATACACCATTTTGTAAATGTTGCTAAATTATTCCTGAGAATTTTTTTTGTAGTTTTGTTATGGGTGTACATTTGCTTAATTGTGAAAGTTATTTAGTTTATTGTTGATAAGGAGTAAATTGTGTGTAATGTGTGATTGTGTGTACATGTGTGTGTGTTCTGCAGTGAGCTGACATCCTATCCAGGGTGACTCTGTGCAAGTGAGTGGAGGGTTGCTGGTTCAAATCCCAGCATAAGCATAGTGATTTTTGGGGCCTTTTACTGTTGGGGCCTTCAGCAAAGTTAATGTTAATATGGATGGACTGATGGATCTAACTTTCTATGTAAATGTTGTGGCGTGGTGGCTCTGTGTGTAGTTACATTGCTGTTTCATACCTCCAGGACTGAGGGTTCGAATCTCAACTCTGCTCTGTATGTGTGGGGATTGCATGTTTCCCTGTGTGTGTACTGGCTGTGTCTTCCTCCAGGTGCTTCTGCTTCCTTCTGCAGGCCAAAGGCTTGCCGTCAGGGTGTGGAATCTCAGCTTTTTGCTTATGCTGCCAGAGAGGGGTTAATTGGTGACCAGGATGAATGGCTAGGAGATGGATGGATGGATGGATGGATGGAAATTCCTAAAGACATCAAACATATGAATAACTGTGCCTAAAAGAAGTAGTTGAAATCCACAGGTCTTTAAGGATGTAAAGTTTTGTTCCGATATTATTTCTAATATTTAATAATTTCTAAACAAGAAAATCAGAAACTTCGGGTGCTATTCCAACTGAAATTTAAAACAAGACATCCAAAAATCTCTTTGAAATTGAAATGTTGAATTTAAATATTCCCTCACATTGCTGTTGATTAGTAAAACGAATATCTGCTGTTTCTGAAAATGGAAGCTTTTAAATTAAAGTATATTCTTAAAAATGTTTTCTGACTCCAAAGCGAAGCTGAATGTCAGTTTTGGTGTAGTGCTGCCCCAACTGGTTTGTCCCACAGCCGACCTTTTAAAACTGCATTTCAGCCACGAAATCCTAAAATCTTGGAAGCATTTTAAACAATCCAGCACATATGTAACACATGTGTTGATCTAGCTATTATTGTTTAAAATACTTCAGTAGACTAGTGACCTTTACTTTCATACTCCTGTGTGTTTGAAGGGATTGTAAGAATCCTCAGTATTTAATTTAATGAAAATGTATGCTATGGTGGTTATTCATAGTGGTTAGCAGTATTGCCTCACACCTGTGGGACCAAGGTTCGAGTCTCTGTTGTGGTTTCCCGTGTTGTTCTGGTGTTTCCTCTGGTCACTCCTATCTGCCTTGTGTCCACGGGTGTCTGTGATCAGATCCAGACCTTTGCAACCCTACATAGGCAGCAGGTACAGAGGATGGATGGAAAATGTAGACTGTCTGAATATTGTCTGCTTTGGTTGGAGAAATTGATAGGCATGTAATATTCTTTACTGTGTTTTTTTCCTGTATTACACTTATGTTTCAAGCACATAAGTCATATATGAAATAACATATGTACAAATGTACCATATTTATGGATTTTATTTATGACCTGACTCCAACATGAGTTGGATACACGGAAATGATTCAATTAATTTTTCCAGTAAAGTAAATTAATTGCCATTTTTACTCTTCCTAAAAGTGTATGATATTGCTCAGAAATTACATGTTTCCGCCTATCAGCTTCATCTTGATTTGAGGTCAGACTTTATAAATATGGTGAACTTTTTAGTAAATCATTCGTCACCTGAATTGAGATTATTACAGTTTTCATTATGCATTCAAACTGGTTTAATTAAAAACCATTACTTGAATAAATGCACAGATAATTGAACCCTTCAAAACAAAACAGAATGAAAACATTAATTGAATTATTAGGTGCAGAAAAGGCTTTCAACAAAATAAATTAGAAATTTCTATTTGCAACCACAGAAAATTGGCTTTGGAAAACCGTACATTCATTGGATAATAATATTGCAAAACTTGCCTATGGCCACAGTCACTGCTAATGAAATAACATCACAAAGCTTCGCATTATATATGGAGATCAGGAAAGGGGCCTCACTCCTGCAGTCATTGTTTACACTCATTACTGAAACTCTTGCAACTGCAATACAGCTAAATATCAGCCTTAAACATCACACCACCAATATAATGATCAGCCTTTGTAACTATAACTAGAAGACCCACCTAATTCTGTACAAATAAGCCATTAATCTCATTAATGCATTCTCTGGAATGTCTAATTATCCTGTAAATTTGCCTAATTCCATTGGTTTACTTACTGTGTAGATTACCAATATGAAAACTGGTAAATCAGAATTTTGTCAAAAAACCACCTTGCTTCACTAGCAAGATTAGGTACTAGTGTTGTTACTGCCAGTCAGCTACTAAAGAACATAAAGATTATCTGTACCATAGCGTAATTTTCGGAAAAAGTTAGAGATACCTACCAAACATATCACCACGTTGTCATTTGCAAAGCACCGCGAACCAGAATCTTCCTCTTCCTCTATGCTTTATAACAGGCCCTTGCAGAGAACATCCGTTCATTTGAACTTTATTACTTCTGTTTGTAAAAAATCAAGCATTTAAAGATAGACTTAATGTAACTACTATTTAATCAGGTGTGTCCAAATGTGACTGACAGTGTATGCATTAAATATGTTTTCTTGTATTTGTTTCCCCCAGACAGGTCTAGAAAACAGCATTGATCTGGCCATTACAGAAGGTGACTATGGAAAAGCGGAGGAACTGAGTGATAGACTTGCCACTAGAGAGGTAGGTTTTACAAGATGGCAGTGCAAAACCAACTGTATTGAGAATTATAGCAGCTGATAGAATTGAAAAAGGTAAATACTGTTTTTGTTTTTTTTTAAAAAAAAGGGGGGAAATCAGCAGTTTTGAGTCTTTCCAGTCATCTTTTTGGAAGTATACTGTAGCAGTATCCAGATTTGTTTTACTGATGTTTTTATTGCTCTCAAGGTAACTGATAAAAGTATGAATCATCATTTGTGAAAACACAATTTACTTTGCCTGAAGTTTTAAAGCTACATAATAATGAAATGAACTTTTTGAAGGAAATTTTGCCACACTCATATTAAGTACACCCGAAAATAGTTCACATGCACTGGTGTTTCCATGTCTTAGCAGACTGTGGTATATATTTGTATGCTATATTTTATTTCTGAATCCATGCTATTTTAATGCCTTTTTCACTATATTAATCTACTACAATAGGCTAAATAACTCCACCCAATAGCCTGCTATCTTGATACACACAACTTAATTCTAATCATCATTTAAAATAGCAACAATTGCTAAAATAGCAACTACCCTAGTAAATTAAGCCCTAATACTTTATATAGAACGTATGCACTGATGTCACTTGCCCACTGGACCATGCAAGCAGTTGGACTCGACAGAGATCCATACAACTACCCAAAAGACCAATGGACCATGGGCATTGATATGTGGCCAGGAATCAGGTCTCCTGACATTAATATGTGTGCAGCCTCCTCATTTAGCGCATGACTGTACTCAGACCGCACTGTCACCTTGCAGGCACTACCTATTTATATTTCAAATTTGATGTATTTTAAAATTTATTATTCATTATTATTATTTCTGTTTTTATTTTTCTATTATTTTTCAATTCCATTTCTTTAACTTACTTGTTATATTTCCTTCAGTATTTTTGTACTGTGCACCAGGACCTGAGGAAACACGTTTAGTTCCTGTCCGCTGTACAGTGTGTTGATGTATAGGAATGACAATAAAACCTTTGAAATTTAAATTGAATTGAATTATATGTACCTGATTTCGACGCCAGGGAAATGCACAAAGCAAAGCCAGAGGGCAAACAAAAGCTTGACGCTTGGTTGTACTTCAAGGTGGGATTTGATGACGAAATGAAAGTGAGGAGGACACCAATGGATATTCCACTTACATGTGGACAGCTCTGTACAAAATTTATTTTATTATAACTTTTATTTTGAAATTCCAGCTGCAGATCCATGTTTCAGAGTCTGGATTCCAGTTGTTTCTGCAGATTGCAGCTATCCATTTGCTTCACTTTTATTTATTTTTCAGTGGTTGTTAAAAAGGTAGCTTGGATTTCCTGTTACATCGATTTGTACAATCAGTCGCACAACAGCTTTTTCCCATTTTAGATGTTTTTTTGGCAGCGTTCAGGTCCATTTATTGCCACTCAGTGGGTGTAACCACAGTGGCAACTGCCTACTGTGACATGTGCATACCCTCTATTTTTGTTCAGTAATTTAAACTACATGTGCTTGATATGTGCTTGCCAGTTCTGTCGTTATAATAGTGTTAAGTAGTGCACTTGTAAGTGAGCATTCACTGGAAGCAGCACTTGTAATAACTACCAATAACGTAATAAATTTACCATTCTTATTAATAAAAGTCGATAATGTAATAACTGGCTAATAATATAATACATTTTCTGTACCAATAACGTGATGAACTTTTTACCGATAATGTAATAAATTATTACATTATCGACATTTATTACACTAAGAATTGATGTTATGTCATTTTATTACATTATTGGTAGATAGCACCTATGTTTGTAATGTTTGTAATTAGTTGGTAAACTAATTGATCGGCTCATAAAATCGCCCATATTTAGACTGATTGGCCAACTGCCAGTCAGCAGCGATCAGGCAAAAATCTGCCGTTTCCCGTCACTAACTGATCAATCGATGCATCCCTAGTTTGTGCCTGTACGCACTTGCATTTCGTTTGTTCTACAACATGGCAGTGCTTCAAGTAGTGAAATAAGCTTGCTATATTTCCGATTTTAGTTGGCATGAGTTTGTAGTACACAGTACCAGTGTGTTTTGTGTTGAACTTTAAACCTAAAGAGTGCTGCCATACCACCAGTGTCTTTTTACTTTGTCCACCATATCTCAGTTTTTAAAGGATGTTGTGACTCCTAAGCTGCTGCTTTCTTCATTGACACTTAACGTTTCCTCTGAGGAACCACTTATCTCCTATGATATTGCCAAAATGGCACCTTATGACGTGCCCCGCTAACTTAATCAGCCTTGCTGTCTGTTTGCTTTATGTAGGTTGTGCATGGAATTGCTTTCATTTCTGTGATGCCATAGGCTGATGTGTACTGTCTAACAGTCTTCCTTATCCACAGTTTATCAAAGTTTCTCATTTTCTTATAATTTAAATTTTATATGACGATAAGCCGATATATCGTTTGTTGCCCAGCCCTGTGCCGCACCCATTGACTTTAGCCAACTAACGTTGATTATGATGCTGACTGAATGGAGAATATTATGCTAATTTTCCAGTGACATTATGAAAGACAATATCATTATTTATGCATTATCAGCATCTTTAATGGCCACATTGCATTCCTTGGACTTTTCAGTTCTTCTTCTCTTTTTATATGCTTTGTAATTTGTGCATCCAAAAGCCATGATTTAATGATATACATAATTGTAGCTAAACGTGTATTACTGTCCTGTTATGGGGGGGCTTATTGTTCATGAGTCCTAAGAGTGAAGTCCAAGTTGAGTCTGAAGTTATTCAGGTGTACATCTGAGTCGAGTCTAAAGTGGCAGGTATGCTCCACTTAAGTGTGGCTTGAGGTTGAGTTGCCGTTGAGTCCCTATCTCTGGATCTTTTTACTCTGTTTATTCTATTTGATCTTTGATGGATCTTATTACCATTTCACAAAAACATTATATGGATGAAAATATACACCTGATGCAACTGTGACAAATGGCCCCAAAACTGAAGCTAAATGGCATCAGAGACTGCAGAAGCCATCTTGTGAACAATAAATCTGAAAGTATCGACCTTTTTCGAAGTCTAATCTGAAGCAGGCACAGCAGCCTAGAAAAGGCCTATTACTGCTTAAACAGCTCATTTCACTGGTCATAGAAACAAATCAAAACTTTCTTTTGATGACCATAAGGTAGCAAAAACACTATAACATTTTAGCATTTACCCCTCTTTCTTATATATTTTGTATGTCTTGTATTTATTCTCTGTCTATTCTCCCATCAAACACTTATCGTAAGTCAAAAAAGCACTTAAATTAACACAATTTTGAGTTGCCCATATTTTCTCCTTATCAGTGCGGTCACGCCTACCATGTTTAACCTAAAAAAGAAGGCAAGTCTAAATAATTCATCAAGAAAGAATAGGGAGTTACTCCCTCAGTGATTTTGGCAATAAGAAAAACATGGTACATGTACTTTTGAACATGAACATGAGAATTTTTAGACTAAAATGAAATGTCAGTTCAAACACTGCATTTCATTGTAACATTACCTTCACTTGTTAGGTAAATCAGAATTATGTCGTGTCCCTCAATGGTTCAAAAAGGAGCATTTCATGATCCACATGGATTGCAGTGCATTCAGTGTTGGTCAGTTGAAGAACATCAAGATGAGGGCATCTCTATCTCACTCTTGTCGCAGCGCAAATACATGCACTTCTGCTTAGGATTACAAGGACAAACTACTTCCTTTGAACCTGTTTTTTACTCATTTTAATTGAAAGAATTATAATTTATTCGACCAGTCATTCAGCCTACTAGGCGCGCTGACAAGGACGATGTCATTTGAATCTTACCTAATAGTACTAAACTTGTATATACACTCCTGGACAATCGACCATACCTTAATGTTGTGCAGTTTGGGTTTGGCCCACTTTTTTGCCCAGGAGTTTACATTTCTGTATGCGGCTGTTATATAATTCTTATGTAACTGTATAATCATTCACATGTGCTTTGGATTATGACATTTACTTCAAAATGTATGATAATTGTAAAGTTTCATTTTGTTACATGCTTGGGTTTCTGAAAACTACAATGTTACATTTGGCCATGTAGATGTATGTAACTTAATGCAGCCCTCCAGAGTGCATAGTGAAAAATACAATTATAAGTACTTAAGTCAGTGGCAGAATGTGCGTAAGGGTCATTATATGCGACACACTTTGCACATCTAGCTTAAGCGCACGTAAACCCCAGTCATACATTGATGGGAGAACACGCTTAAGTGAGAAGTGCACATCTATGCTATATTATGCGCACATATATGCTATCATACTGAATACCTGTAACCCTGCTCCCCCCCCCCCCTCAAAAAACAACAGAAAAAAACCTGCAACACAGAATCATTCTTTTCAGTATTACAACAGCCCATCAACATCACATTTGTACAGAGCCCATAAGGGAGGTGAGAAATAATTTTGCGTTCACCCATGATACTTTTCGATCCCTTGTAATAGTTTTGCGTTCACCCATGATACTTTTCGATCCCTTGTAATAGTTTTGTGTTGTCACTAATAATGACTGTACTGTGTCCGTTTAAAGTACAAAACAGAATTAATGGACTAAAGTATAATCCTAAATGATACAGATATATCCCGTTAAGTGTGGTATAAGCATTAAACTGGGGAAAATGCACACCATGTAACTTTCTCTATGTGTGTCTTTATATGTATTTATTAATAATTGCACTGTATCTGTTCACCAGCAGCGATTGTAAACAACAGCTGGGCTAGTGAACGAGAAGTGCGCACATAAACATTGTATAAAATCATAAATTGACTGTCAGTCCAATCTGTAATGCAAAATCAATTGCTCATCCTTTGGTTCTCCCAGTCACGGAACACACTTTTTGGCATGTTTTCTTCATTTATCACCATGAACTCGGCCATGTTGAGGTTGAAAGCTGTTTTACTTACTGTGGTTACTAAGGTCCTTTGTGCAACCATTTAATGAACTTTAAGGGATTCCTAAGTGTAAGACCAAGATAAGGAGAAAAACTTAAATATTTAAGCGAACATTTTAAGGAAACCTTAAGGAGAAGACTTAAGGGTGTTTTATGCAATTGGCCCTTGATTCTGAAAGATTATGATTAAACTTAATGCTGAGGAAATTGAAGCTAACCTATCTTGGCATTTTGTCTTAGATTTTTTTCCATCCTGTAGAGCACAGTCCATTATATCTTATTTATGTTTACGAGATTATGATGAGGTCGAGTAACCTAGAAGGAGTTATATATTTGGAGAAAACTTTCCAAAAAGGTGTCTGCTTCATTGTAATAAATACTTATCTTTACATTTTAGTAGCTCCAGCAATGCTGGGCAAAGCCATCAAAATGTGTTTATGTTTGCTAAGTGTATCTAGTCTTGTATAGCGGGAGTAGAGTAGAAGTAGAAGAGTAACTGCAGTTTATAAGAGCAGAATTTGTAAGACCTGTAATTAAAAACCATATTAAACAAAATGTACAGCAAAGATCAGGAGATTCTCTTAATGGTATGGCAGTCCATTGCTGGTCAACCATCCACATGCACCAAGCCTATTTCACCAAGCCTAAGTTTTATTTATTTGATTGTTTATTTATTTGTAAAAAAAAAGGAATCCGTAACCTTTTAATTTGGACCTATAACCTGGATAAAGGCTATATTTTGTATGTCTGCTTTACTTACAAGCTTGTTGGGTTGGTCCTTCATACTTAGTGGGGTGAAATCCAGAGTACTAGGGCTAAGAATCATTGTACTTTTTCTTTGTGGGAAGATTTTAAATACATACCCACATATTTCGTTTCATTTTTATATCAATCCACAAAGATTTTTTAATTTGAATGGATTTTTTTCTTTACAAAAAACAACATATCTGAGTGGCAAAAAATAATTTTGAAATCAATTGATACAAAGCTTTATCAAAAGCTGTGTAATCTTATTTGGATTATTGTATTTCATTAATTACTTAGAAAACCATACATTTCAATGTAGATTTATGCTGTTTAATTAATTACCATGTTTTCTTTTTTTTTAATTAAAGCATTTTTAAATTAAAGCCCATAGCAAAACATATAATTTGTTTGTAATTACTCTTTAATTGGTGGTAGTGGAAGCTTAACACCTTCTGTTTTGTTTTTCATGATTGCCATTTTATTACTAGTCAGTCATTAATTAAACTGCTTTCTAATTAGCTTATAAAACTGTTGATGGCACATTATTGTAAGTGTGAGTTCAAAGCTTTCTAATAAGCCTTGCCTACTCAGAAGAATAAGATAAAGGGATGAGCACAAAGCAGAAAAACTTTCATAGTTTTTTTTTTTCTTTCCCTAAATATGTCCTGTAAGTTTAGAAGCAGTTTATTTAAATGGCAGAAAGACAGAGTTTCTTGTTCCGTCTTATTTCATATAGTCAGTAATGTTGTTTGCAAAACAGAATAGCACCTAAATAGCAGAAGATTGTAAGTTGATATTGTCATTGTGTTGGATTTGTATTACTTGTGCATGGGTAGGAGTTTATTGCAAAAATTATTGTACAAGTGTTGATTTGTGTAAGGATTTGTGCAGAGTGGCCTCAGAGTAAGTCATACTAGATTATAATAATGTAATAATGTAAATGACTTAATTTTGTTTTCTAAGTTTTAAAATGCATTAATATAAAAATAAGGGTTTAATTTTTATTTTATTGTTCTTTTGAAGTTGAAATTGATTTTTTTTTTATTTTATTACTTTTTTAATGCCCTTTTTTATCTCACTTGGTCCTTTGGTTATAAATATAATTCATTTTCATCAATTTTTTCCCCTTAAAGTACTTTTTAAATGTGTTGGCAAGACATTTTTAATGAGTGACATTGTGGTAGAAATATACATGGCTGCATATATGTGCAAAATGAAGTTACTTAAAAAGTAAACGTGTAAACAACATAACGTTAATTATAGAGGAGAATGCTATTCATCTACCCCTAGTGGACAAAATCTGCAGTAGTATATTTGCAGGAGTTACCTGATTTTAGGTCACGGCACTAATGTTGGCCTTGTGTTCCTCCTGCTCTTTTGTTCTAAGCGTCATCAGCAATCTTAAACAGCTTTAAGAAAAGATACAAATGATACATGTCGGCCTTTCGTAAATGTTGGAGTAGCCCCTGTATTTCTCTTGAACAAAGAACATATGAGAACATATATTATTATTCACCCCCTGTTTCTCCTTTGCCAGTTTATGATATGAAAGGATTTGGCATTAAGAAGTATGCATGAGAGGGGAGGGCAAAAATCCTGAAAAGTGGATCAAAAAGTAAATGAAAAATAATGTCATATTACTGAAAATATGAGAGGCTAATTTGTCCCGACTTTTTGCTAATTTTGTTCCAGCCATAAAAAGAAGAGCCGTCACCTGCTCACTGCAGCGGCGATGACAGTGCCAGTGATCCATGAAATAAGCTGCCGCTGGCTTTGTTCTGATAAGAATGAACAAATCTGCACAATGTACTGCTTAGAATCTCATTTTCATACTTGCATGCAGGCTAAAAGAAATAAGCTGTTTGCAGGCTTGATTAATCAGACATTTGAGGGTGTTTTTTTTTTTTGTCTCTTTGATCTGTTCCGTCTCCTAGGTAACTTGGTTGACATTAATGTTGTGCTCTGGTAAAGACAATCAAGAACTGATTAAAAAAGACCTTTACTGCTTTAAATAGCTACAGTTCTCCATATTTGAAAGAGGGGGAAATGGTTATTATTTTGATTTTGAGAAATATTTGAAGAAATGTTTAGCATGGAACGTTTTGAAGATATTTGCATAGGAAATATCCCTTAAACATAAGCACGATAATGTGAGTAATCCTTGTGTAGAACAAAAAGGAAATTTGAAATAATTTAGCATGTTCTAGATTGTTTATTTTTGCTGGATGTGATATTTTCTGTGAGAATATCTGGGGGAAAAATCTCTTTTCGTCTTTCACCAAAGATGTTTTAGTCCTTCAACACTGCGCAGTTCTCAGTAAGACCCCTTCAAAAAATCTTTTCGTTAATCTACACTTAACATAAGCATGATCTGCCATTATAACTTTGCCTTTTTTTTTACCAACATCTGACTAGAAAACATGATTTACAGGTTTTAAACCTATAAAAATGTGAAGAATTAACCGACTGCCACAGTTAGCTCCAGGTTATGCAGATGCTTTTACAAATCTTCCAAGTGATTCTATAGATGAATGCCTCGAGGGCCCAGCCAGAGCCAGCCACTTACAGCCAGCTAAAGCCCTTATCTTAAATCCAAGCAAAGTACCATTAATCTTTTTGAAAGACCTTTATGGCTTTTAATGTATCCCAAATTAGAACATTTTACACCCTTGGTTCCTGAAATATGGTGATAAAAAGCCTTTAGAGTTTAATTTTTCCTGACTACGCGCTCTGACCTGCTTAATCCCAGCATACATTATAAGATATTTTAGTTTCAGTCTTTCTAATAAAGTTTATCCCAGTTAATTATTATTGAAACATTTATTTTTCCCCTGTTTTTTCAGGTGGAGAAATTATGATACATTTCTTTATTACCCCAAGAATTTCCCCTTCTTTGTATGCTGTAAGCCATCTAGAATTTGTTTTTGGTATTATACTGAATATGTGAATATTATGCTGAATTATAGTAATATTTAGTGATTGTTAGAATTTCATTTATTCACCTGTTATCCTCCAAAATCTTCAGGGTTGGTATTTTTTCCCTCGCATAGTCTTTTATATTGGTTTCATTGAGGGTGTACAGTGTGAATTCAGCTATAACAATGCACATATCACAAATGTAATGGTATTACAAATGACACGCAATTCAAATTGATCATTTTCCCCATCAAAGGCGGCATTGGTCTGTTGGTGGAGAGGAGTGAGATTTGGTTATTTGATGAGGCTTATTGGCTCGAAAGCAATATTGTCTTCGTTAATGTTCTTTTTGGAAATCAAAGTTACCAGTCTTATCACATAATATTAATCAAACTGATAATTCTGAGCACATCGGACTTATTTTATTCAGCATTTTAAATTTTACCCGAAAACCCATACTGATGTTCAAATACATTAATTATTTGACTGCTGTAGTGTTTTGAATTTGTTGGTAATGAAGATTTTTTTTTTTTGTTTTTCCCTTTTCAGCTCATTTTATTTTCCATAATGACGGAATATAATGCTAGATTGTGGCAACATTATGAATTGCTTTTTGTTCCACGGCACTGTAGAAGGTGTGTGTTCCAGGATGACTGCTTTACATTTGCTAATGGGCCTCGTCTCTGTCTCCTTTTCAATAGCTGGCCGTGAAAATTGCAAAAGCCACAGATTGCCGTGACTTTGTGAAAACCAAACAGGAAGCAGCAGCTTCAGGGGAAGCCCAGAAAAAGAAGAAACAAGTAGCTTGGGGGTTAGTCATGTTTCTCGGATTATTTTTCAGTTTCATTAAATCAAAATACATTTTACACACCACATTTATGACTATCGTAAGGCGGCCTCAGTGGCTGTTCTTTAGTTTTCACTTTTTAAAATCCAGTGTCTCTGGGGAAAAATTGCTGTCAGTGGTGAATCAAGATGCAATCAGTTCCAAAAGGCAGTTTACAATGTCCTAGCTATTTGTTTTCATGTCATTAAAATGTTACTGCAGATGCAGTCTTGATATTACAATTGATGTCAGAATAGATCATCATTCATAATATTATTTATTAATAAACCATCACCTCGACCATACATTTCTATATCATATGGCAGTGGCCCTGAACCCTGCCATCTTGTTGTGGTTAACTGAAAATTAACGTCAATGCTATTCTTTTAATACCATTTCAGATTTGAAGCCAAGAAAAGATGGGAAACTAAGAGCAACATGGGCTACATGTGACTTCAACATATAAGATTTCTATATATATATATATATATATATATATATATATATATATATATATGCGCATTGCCTTTTTAGGGGAATTTTAAGTTAATTGCTTGAAATACTGTAATAATTATTTTATATTGTGCAAAATGGTATACCGAAACATGAAATGTGATTTTTGTATACAAGTATGTAATGTAAATATGTTACATAAGAAACAGCTGTAATGTACAGTTGACAGTGCTTTGTGTATGAGGGCTTAATTCATATGTTCAATTCATTCATATGTATTGCTGTATCTGAAAGAGAAACACATCACAATAAATCACACATTTTATAAAAATTCTTGAAATACTTATAAATACATCTGTTCAATGATCTTCAATAACCAGTTAATTGAAAATTGCAGGAAATCCATGGCCGATTAATAAATCGCCATTTCAATCAGATGATCTTTGATGCTACACATTTGTAGAAGCATTGATTTTACATGTAATTGTAGGAGATGTTTTGCAATTTATGCATGAGACAACCAGAGATGACTAGAAGTTTCCAGCAACAGCAAGGATTTTTCCTTAGCCTCACCAACAGCCATCCCTTCATCTTCCATAACTGCTTATTGAGTGCAGGGTTGCAGTGAGCTTGGAGCCTATCCCAGGAAACGGGACACTTTGGAGAGGATGCTAATCCATTGCAAGGCATACATTCACATTCAAATTCACACACACACACACACACAAAATTGCAAAATCACAAACTATGGACAGGTGCCAACCCATCACAAGGCACACACCATTCACACGACGACATCGGAGGAACATGCAAATTCCACACGCGTCAAGGTGGGGTGGAGACTCGAACCCTGGTCTCCAGAGGGGTGAGGCAAATGTGCTGCCCCCCCCAAAGAAGCCTATTTAGCTATAATTATTATAATGGAAGACTTCAGTTTAAAAGAGGTGTGACACTGGAGCTCTGATGTTAGTAGGGAATTCAGTGACCAATAAAGCTCAATTTCAATATCTTCTGAGAGAAAGGTAATTTCATCATGAAACTCAGTCATCCACAACAGTGCTCAAAAGTGTTTTCGGTCTGTTTACGATAAGAAGTCATTTAAAATGAAAGAAAATAAACAATTGCTGGTCAGTTGACTGTAATGGTCAACTGGTTCATGAACCACCAATTCAAGCTTAAGAAACTTAATATATACTTGAATTGGAGTACAATCGTGAAATTGCAGTCGACAGACCAGTTATCACACCTGGAATTGTTGAATATTGGATATTTAAATATTGGATTGATCTCTGCACAGGTAGAGATCACTGTTCATGTCATTCCTGACAAACAGTGTAGAAAATGTGTGGCACTGGCTTCAGCTATAGACCTCAGTTACAAGACTGAAGTTCTATCTTCCAACTGCAGGTTGCATTTTTTTGACGTCAGATACTACAGTATTTCTTTTATTTCTAAAGTGTGCAGTTAAGCTAATTGGTGTGTCCAGTCCGCCCATACTATGATGGTCTGTGTGCCCTTCAATGGAGTAGCATCCCTTTGCTGCCTGGGATAGGTTCCACTCCCCAGCAATACTAAAAATGATAAGCAGTTTGAGAATGTATGGATGGAAAAGGCCTTGTATTTGTAACTGATACAGAGATTTACATTCAAGGACTCTAAATCCTATTGAAGTTTATCTAAAACCCTGCCTGTTGTATCTAAAAATATGCGTTATTTATGAATTTGTTTATAAATGTATTGGCAGGTATAACCTACGGTATGTTGAGTTACACTCAGAACACGCCCCATATCTCATTTCTTGATCTTTAAATCCCTTTGAATGCCTTGAGCAGAGAATATGTCTGCCTTAAAAGGCTGAAAATACCTTTTGTCTTTGTTACTGCAAAAATTCTGTGATTGCTGCAGGCCAGGTTTTTTCTTGTTTTGTTGCAAAAAGCAAACTTGTATATGCCAAAGCACTTGAGGCATGACCTGCATATTCTACATAACTTAAGAAATAGTCTTTTTAAAAAATTCAATCCTATTATATGGTTCAAATGAAACGAAAAGTTGGTTCCGCGGTGAAAGAAACATCCTAACATGTTTTTGGTAATCAGAAATCAATAAGCCATTGTATTGAGAGAGAAACAAAATTAAAGAAAATAAAAACTGCAAGACAATAGTAACCCTGAGTCAAATATGACAGATAAGCTACAATCTTAGAACAATGTTCTAGCACTTTGATATCAAAAATCTTAACCGGAAGCTGTATGTTTTCTAGGAATGTCTTAATACTAGTTAGTAGTTTAAATACGAGTGTCGTTTTACTTTTGCTCAATGAATATCATATACGGAAAGGACAAAATAACGTGCACATCTACAGTTATGTCAAAATCTAGGAGTAAGGTCAGGCTTTACCTTCAGAACAGTTTCAGTCCGTCTTGGACCACTGTCATAGAAGTCCTAAACTACAACAATGATGTGTGTCTTCTGCATTTAACCCATATGTGACATAGCAGGGGGCAGCTAATTCAGCGCCCTGGGAGCAGTGCTTGGGGGCGGTACTTTGCTGGTCATGGATTCAAACCAGCAATCTTTCTATAACTATAAGTGTGCTTCCCTAACCATGAGGCTACCACTGCCCCATGTCAACAGGCCTAGGGGATTTAAGCATTCTTTGATAGAAACGTGAACTGGCAAAACATTCCAAACACAACCGTATTTATGTTGCTCAAGGGTCCAGCCCTTGTGTTCATCACAACAGGTTATGTGTGTTTGTGCATGCATTGTCCTTGGATACAAGTGGTCTCTGAATGGCAGCTTCATGAAGTTCAGTGGCTATGTGGTTCAAATATTTAGATAGATGAATGTAACTGAGAGCCATGCAGTCCATTTGTCCCGGATATGAAAAAAGAGCAAATAGGAATGCTTTCCTGATCAGAAGGGTAAAGTTACTATTTTATAAAGTACACACATAAATTCATAAATACATACAAAAATCTACATTCTTTTTTAAAATTAGCAGTTAATTCTCAAGGTTGCAAACTGACTGACATTATACAGTAATAAGTAGGTTTACACTCTAAAATAGCTTCATCCATGCAGTCAGAAAATTTTAACAATTATTAAAATGAAATCATACATTACTACCTACAGTCATTTGACTCCACATAAAGTTTTCAAAATTTCTTTCTATACTTAATAAAATATATTAATGGTGGGTAAGGTAAGTTATTCAAAGCTGATTTAAAGCTGTGAGCTATTGGAAATAGTAGTAATTTAATGCTATTGAAATCTGGTTTTATTAAAATTATGTTAATAAAATTTCAGGTATAAAGTCTGTATTTGTCAAAAAATCTTGTCACACATTACACTTTTCTGCATCAACAAATCTGCCAACAAAATATATTCCCGATCATACAGTTGTGTTCAAAATAATAGCAGTCTGACATCACTAACTTGATCAATCACTGTTTTTGGTAGAAATTGTATTTCTACATGGCAAATAATTTACTAGTAGGTGTAGTAGAGTAATGGAAAACCAACAGACCCAACAGTCATGACATGCACGCTGCTGATTATGTGTAACAGAATCATTACTTGAAAGGGGCGTGTT